AGACTATAGAAAAAATAAAAACTGTTTGGTTTTTGTTAAGGGACCATTAGGCTATAGAACCAACTATAGCATATATGTCAGTGCTTCTCCAACTTTAACGTGAATCTCCCAGGGATCTGTCAAAATGCAAACTCTGATTCAGCAGATTTAGCGTGGGGGTCCAGGATCGCACATTTCTAAAACTTTGTTCTTCCGCCATGCTCAGGCTGCTGGTTCATGGGCCACACACAGAACGGCATCAACATACAGTTAGTCTGTATGAAGACAGTACTCAGATTTTATATACATAGTCTATGGTCAGAAAAGTGTATGTATACACATATTTAAAAAAAAATCAAATACATAAAACCGGACTGGAAACATACCAACTAAGAGATTTGGAGTCACAGGTGAGTTTTGTTTTCATTCCATTTTTCTTTGTCCTCACCAAATAACATTTCTTCACATTTTCCTATAAATGTAACTTTTTCTGTTGACAGAAAGCTTTTTCTCTTCTCTTTTTCATGATTATTTTTTAAGCAAAAAAGCACAAGTGCTGGTGGCAGCCAACAAGAATAAGACCAGCAAGTGGAACGTAATGACTCTCAAAGGTGACGGAGACTGTGGACAAAGGTTAAGGGGGTTGACACTTGCCTGATCCACAGTGGTCACATGACGGTGATACGTGTCTCGTGGTCACTTGAGTGGTCCACTGGCTTCCGAAGTCTTTGCTGTGATTCAACCACATGAACAGGTGTAGATGACCAGGTTTCCGGTGAGGTGGAGGTCACACCAAAGAGACCCAGTTGTTCTCAGAGACTTCTTGATACTGAGGATGCCCAGGCCCCTCACATGACAGGCAACTGCTTGGATCAGGAACATCTGGAGGAAAATTGAATAGGACTTTAACTTATTACTTTCTGCATCAGGGAGACATCTTTTAAAACTGACACGATACGGTAACTGCCTATACTTCAATTAAAAAAAAAAAGAGGAAGGAAAGAAAACCTCCTTGAAAAAAAAAGAAAATCTATACACACATTATAGACAGTTAGCAGGGAGGCTGAGAAGGCCTTCAAAAGTAAGTTTTACTTAAAGGAGAGAAAATTAGCACAAATATATTTGGATGAAAGTAGTCTAGCTGAATTGAACCAGTACATTTTGACAGACAGGAGATAAAATGATAAGTAATTGTGCCTATTCTGTGTTTCTGAGAGGACAGGGCATCAGTTTGAAAATCCTAGAAGGAAAACGAACTAACCAGCAGGTCCTAAAGTACACACTCCAAGCTCCTACCTGCCAAGGGGAGCCAAGCAGTCTGCAAAAACACCTCCAAGACTGTCAAGTGTGGTGCATGCACCTTAGGCCTGAGAAACTCAGGACGAATCTTCTCAGAAGCTGTTGGGGGCATTTCTAAAGAATTTAAGGAATGTATTTACTGATCCATTAAATGTTGGGGAAAGCTAGCATGCAGAAAATGCATTTCAGGAATGCAGGGGAAAAAAGTCAGTAAGAACCACTGGTTTGGGTTCTAGAAGATTTCTTGTGTTGTATGCCTTCTGCTGTTTTTTATTAAATAAAAGCCTAAAGCCTGGCTAGGATGAAAGTGAACTATAACAATAACACCACCACGAATAATAATAATCGCTAACTTTGAGCATTGATTATATAACAAGCACTGTTCTAAATATTTTTCATCTAGCTTAATCCTAGGAAAAAGCTCCGTAAGGTTGATACCTTTTTATTCCTATTTAACAAAGGTCCCGGAGGCACAGAGGGACGAAGCACCTGCCCAAAGTCACAGTCAGAGATGGAGTGGTTTTGAACCCAAGCAGCTCAACTCCTGAGTTTGCACCGTAGAGCAGGCAACGGGATGCGGAATGATGCTATGGTTTGGCGCCAACTTTCAAGAGGCTTTTCTTGTCTACACTCAAGGCTCAACCACGCGGGGCATATATGGACTCACATCAGCCAAACTTATTCAGTCAGGTCTGAAATGTGTCTGCCAAGAAGTTTAACCTCACACTGGCGCCAGGCAGGTTGTTGGAGAAAAAGGTAATTTGTTTTATGGGGCTTATATTACCTTTTCTACCTAGCAAGCAGTTTGGAGCACAGATGATGTCTGGGGCTGAATTCCGAGGTGGTGGGGGGAGAGGGTCGCCACAGTCTGAGAACTGCTGGTAGTTAAGTCTCCAGCCCACAGGCCTTGCTGGACTTCGGGACATCAAGGTGACCTTAGTATTTCTCATAAACGTTAAGTCAGAAAACCCAGGGTGTCCTCACTCATCTTTGTTAGTCCTAGAAGTTAGTCCTAAAGACCATTCCCGAACTTTCAGGAAGGAGATGATCATATTCTTATCTACTTAGTAGGCATATGTAAGTAACCAGCTGTGTCTGAACACAAGCCACATGACCTCTGGGCCCAGGCTGGCTCATGTGTAAAACGAGCATATCGCACCTGTCTTGTCTGCCAGGAGGCAAGAGGTGAATCAGATGATCTTTGAAGGCATTTCAAACTCTAAACTGAAAATAAGGGGCAAAGGGAAGGAGGGAGGGGGGTGTTCAATTGTTTACTCCTCAAAAGCCAGAGTCCCACTTTTTGTTAATTCACACAGTAACCAGATGCTGCTTCAGTTCATCAGATCATCTCTAGAGGGGGTGCTCAGCTCCTCCCACCCCTCCAAACCAGGCCCCACTACTAAACGGTTAATAAAGACGGTGTTTAATAAAAAATAAACAAACAAAATAAAGATGAGTTGTTTCCATAGCACCAGAAGAAAACTGTTTCTCAACAGCATCAGGAGAAATGTATTTTCAATCCAGTCTCAATAACAAATCTTAATAAGACAGTATGGACAAGAATAAGATATATAGTCATTTCATAGTAAACCGTACATCTACCTTTAGAACAGATGATTTATCTGAAGTAATTTAAACATTAAAATAATTAACAATTTCAGGGGGTGGGTATAGCTCAGTGGTAGAGCACATGCTTAGCATGCAGGAGATCCTGGGTTCAATCCCCAGTACCTCCATTTTAAAAAAGTAACTAAAAACCAACAGCATTTTTACTGAACTAAATTAGATACTTTGGGGTAAAGCCCTTTTAAATGGAGTTTCACCTGCCGAGCTCAGTCTCCTGTTTCCCTCCTTGTGTCCATCCCTGACTCCTCTTTTCTTCCTAACACTGTTAGATGTGAAGGGAAAAAAAGAAAAGAAAAACGTACACATCAGGAGAGTGACCAAAAAAAGATTTTGTTTACTTGCCACTTTGTTTTACATTTTATTTACTTTCTCTTTACTTTCTTTTTTCAGTCTTAAGCCTCTTGCCCCATATACTCCCACCTCCCCTTTGCAGAGAGCAGGTCTCAAAACTTCACTTCTGCTTTCAGGCTTTAAAGAGAAAGGGGGGAGGTAGAAAAGTGAACAGTTGAGAGGTTCTGCAAAGCAAAAATCAACAACAGATTTTCTTAGTGCAAAATTCCCACGTTCTGCCACTTGGAAAATACCTTTCTTCCTCTCTTCTAAGGTCCCCAGACCGTCACAGTATTTAAGCCACAGGATTTAAGGAGGTAGTAAGTTGCTTACAGTTTTTCAATGTGTATTGGGTGCCATTTGCTTCCCTGGAGGTGGATGCCAGCCTCTTAAAAGGTTCTTGCGGTTGATTAAATTACAAGTTGGGAGTTTCCGGAAGAGCTTTTTTTTCTTTCCTTAAGGACTGGCGCTCCTTCGCCAGCCCCGCACGTTCCTCGGGCTCCTCTCCCCCGCTGACTCTCCTCCGGGAAGCGGGTGCTGGGGGGCCGCGCAACGACCCCCTCCCCACGGCCTGGACACGGGATGTTTGTCTCTGGGGTAAGAGCGCGCCGTTCTCCAGGGGTCCCCGCGGCCCCGCCTCACTCCCTGTTGGCGCGAAAAGTGACCGCGGTCACGGAGCGCTCCTCGGTCAGTGTGGTCATGCAGCCCTTCGTCCACGCGATCTGCAGGACTTCTTGTGTCACCTCATAATCCACGACCCGCACGAGCAGGGGTTTGGGTGGGTCCCCCAGCGGAGCCCCGGAGGGAGCGTCTACTCGGCTGCCAGAAACTCGCTTTTCCCGTGGAAAGAGAGGGGACGGGCAGGCGGGTTCCCGGTCTTGTCCTCCCGCTTCGAAAAGGTCCTCCTCAGCGGCCACCTCTTCCCGGGCGGGGTCCCCCTGGGTCCCTAGACACCTCTCCGGGTGCAGGAGAAAGAGCACTTTCTCTCGGACCCAGGGCTCACAGGGCACGTTCTCCCCGGCCCGGCGGGCCTCGTGGGCGCCGCTCGCCCCGGCCGCCGCCGCCGAGGGGTTCGGGGCGCCC